ATAATCTAAAAACGAGGCAAAGAAGTAGAAGAAGAAGAAGAAGAAGAAAAGAGCCAAAGATAAAGAAGCTAAGAAAAGAGAAGAAGAAAACAAGAGGAAGAAGAAGAAGAAGAAGAAGAAGAAGAAGAAAAGAACCAAAGATAAAACACAAAAAAAGGAAGGAAAAGAAGAAGAAAAAGAAGAAAAGAAGGAGAAAAGAGCCGAAGATAAAGAAGCAAAGAAATCAGAGGAAGGAAAGGAAGTTACAAAAATTAGAGAAAAAGACAACGAAAGAGAAAAAAGAGGTAAAGAATTAAAAACAAAAAAGACGACTATGATGAAGAAAACGAAGAGGAGAAATGAAGAAAAGGAAGTTGTTGTTACAGCGATAATAGTTTTCTAATAGGATTTTAGTAAAAAAGATAAAATGCGACAATGACATTGAATTAAATGTTTATATAAAATAAAATATTTAATGTTAAAAGAAACAAAATTTCGACGAAAAAGCAAACTAAATGTTTCTAGTATCATATAATATAAATTTCATTTTCTATTGCTCTTAAAATCCGGCACCTTAAAATGGAAATTAAATGTGGTATAAGCACGATTTGGGTTACTTGTATAGAATAATCAAAGAAAATTCGTGTGAAAGTCCGGATATGTTGTCCCAGGAATATCCGGAAGTATGTGCGCGTGAAGTCACATTCCTGTTGCGCAAGAAGTGCGTGGTCTTCTGAATTGCTGCCTTCTAGTCAAAGTGCAGTTTTACGGATTACGAATATGACATTTTTAGTCCACCTTTGCCCGAAAGGAAATGACGCGAATATAAACGTGTTAAAGATGCATTTAAAGCGAAATTTTACATTCAGGCATGTGTAGGGGAAAATGGGTAACATAAATGTTAACATATATATATATATATATATATATATATATATATATATATATATATATACAAATACATATATACAAACCCACATATGCACACACACACACACAGACTAATATATATATATATATATATATATATATATATATATATATATATATATATGGGGGAGTGTATCATGATCATCACGAGGGCTTAGTTTGTGTGTTTCTAGATTAGATATTTGTGTCCTGTGTGCGTATCTATTATTTTTTAGTTTGACAATTTTTGCTCATAATTAATATATACGCCCCCACACACGCACATACGAACACACAAACACACACACACACACACACACACACACATATATATATATATATATATATATATATATAAAAATAGGTGGACTGACGATTGCGTCTAGCATGAAACAGACTGTCGCTTCTAAGTGTTGACTTCGATGTTCACTTTTATATTTACATACGCTCTATCTCTGATATTGAGTACTTTATCCCATAAATATAGCACAGCTTAAGACTATATTTCCTCATATATAGCTTAATTCTTTAAGGAGAAAATATTTTGAACGCTTAGTAATACCATTATTGCCGACTATAATAATACACAAATATATTACATCATTATTACATATATTAATATATTGCATCAAATTACCATTCTTCTTTGAGTTCATTCCTAGATAATCTAATTTATAAAGTGGTATACTTTTATGTTGTTTCTGCCACTGAAAATGATTTAGTTATTTAGTCTAGACACATTGTGATATTCGAGCGTTAGTCTGTTGTACAATAATGAAGAAGACACAATGTATATGCGTCCTACTTATGTTTATTCAGAATGTTGGAATTATTTCTATAAAAATGATGAAAATATCAAAATAAAAGCAAAACTGTTTGTTTCAACGGAGATGGGCTGTCCAATGTTTCTGATTCCAACCTTCATTCCACGGATGTGTGAATATATATATATATATTCTGCCAATAGCTCAGCAGTTTGTTACTATTCTATTAGATGAATGAAAAATAATGATCAGTTTTCTCCTTATTCTCTTCTCCTTGAGAATTTCTTTTACTGGTGTTTTGTTACCATTTTTTCCCCAAACCTGTAAGTTTTTTAACCACACCGTTAAAAGAGTGACCTTTGTTCGCATAGGTCTGAAGATAATTTTATCATCATTGATTATATTTCTCTTGGTTTTGTGTCGTCATTTTCCCAAACTGAAGCTACGCTGTCACATTTAAACTAAAATATTTATCTATGTCGTCACAAGCATGTCCTTCTGTTGACTCTAAAGAGAAAAGTAAAGATGGAGGAATATGTCTAGAGTTTGACTGTTATGTTAAAAATGCCGACACAGGTATATTCCCTTGGGAACAGGAGAAGGCGATTAAATTTAATTTGTCACAATGACGCCTAATAGGCGTTTGTTCTGCTAGACGTGTGTCATGAAATGTGTTCAATGAGTTGCTTTGTATGTATTTAGAAATAAATATTTTCCTTGGAAGAGTTGCTAATATATATTTGTTTATTTTTGAAAATAATAATTTAGAATTCTTTAGTTTTTGAAAAAAAAAATTAAAAAGCATTAGGTGGTCATTTGATAAAAAAATTCTTGAGGATACCGTAAGGTTGAAACGAAGGTAGCGTATTCAACTGACCTCTTGATTTTTAAAGGTAAAAGCACTACGTGTTGTTTTTACTTTTATTTTTTCACACGTGTATTGAGCACTTTTTAAAACTACTGTTTCCGGGTCTGATTCAACTCTAACCATTAACTTGTTATATATATATATATATTTCATTAAAGACAACAGACAAGGTACTGCGATTAAGACTGTTATTTAATTTTTCTAGTGTTCGGAAAAGTGTTATTTTTCCGAGTGCTTTCCGGTATACTTTTAGCCATTATTAAGCATGATTTTATTTTTATTTTTTAACTGGATGTATGGGTTGTGTGTATGCATCTAGCATTTTAGAGATGTTTTATTTTCTGAACACACTTAGCATATTGTGGCCGTGTTCTTAATATTTCTGAGTGCTAGGTTTTTCTCTTTCATTGTTAAGACTTCCATTATTTTCAGTCTTTTTTATGTGTGGGTGAGGTTATTTTGCTTGTATTTTCTACCAGTATGTTTTGGTTGGAGTCTGGTAGGTTTATGCGTGTGTGTTTAAATGAGTTCTAATGAAGCTGACCGGCCTGCGAGATGGACTTCACTCATTGCCAGCGAACTATCTCGATACAAAGTACAGATCGACACACTCAGCGAAACCCGTCTAGCAGAGAAAGGACACTAGGCATAGCCGGCTACACATTCTCTCGGATCGGATATGGAAAGAACAAGCGATATCCGACAGGAGTTGGATTGCCATTAAGTCCAACATGGATAGTCCAAAAAGGATTAACGAACACCTTATAACTATCTGGCTCTCGCTCCCCAGGAAGAAATTTGCCACATGAATCAGCGCGTATGCCCCCACCATGACAAAACTTGACGTGGTGAAAGACATATTGAATGACACCATCTCGGCAGACAAGCTCACTATTCTCGGTGACATTAACTCACGTGTCGGCAGAGATTGTATTTCGTGGAAGGGAGTGATGGGAAAACAATGCGTGAGCAAGTGTAAAAGAAACAGTCTCCTTCTGCTGTAGTCCTGTTCACCTCATGGTGGTCTCATCACCAACACAGTCTTCCGAGTGCCCAACCGCAACAAGACGTCGTGCATGCACCTGCGCTCCAAACACTGGCATCTACTTGATTACCTCATCGTTAGTCAAAGGGACAGGCGAGATGTGAAGGTCACGGGGACCTTCTGCACTGCTCACTGCTGTACGAACTATGGTCAGCTGATCTCCAAGATGAACCTCTGTATCAAGGAGGTCATAGGCATCAGAGTGCTCAAGCGACTGAATACCTCAAAGAGAAAAATGACCTATTTACATTATTCGGAATATTGCCATCATCTTTGTTGCCATATTTATCACAACGTTTCGTCCTTTGTACACTCCGGCCTTCTTCAGGTGATTGGAATGCCGAACTGAACCCTTTATTTCGTGTGCCATGTCTAATGGATATCATTTATCAGTTATCTTCTGTTAATTCCACTCTCCAAGTTCTCCACCGCCTTAACCAGGTATTGAACTCACACTCTTTGGGTCCTGTCACTGTATCTAGCTAACGCTTTTATCTACTGGGCCATGTGCCATTGAGGACATCTGTGTATGAATGGCTGGGTATTATAAACCTAATGTCTTCAGCAACCATTTTTACCAGTTCTCATATTGCAATTTTTACTGTTATCATTGCATTTTTTTTTTTACCAGATCTGATATTGCAATTTTTACTGTTATCATTTCATTTTTTTTTTACCAGAGCTGATATTGCAATTTTCGTTGTTATTATCGATTTTCTCTAGTACTAATTATTACTGGTTCCTATATTGTATTCATTTCTATGCTTGGTCGGCTCAGGAGATTTTTGTGGCCTGGCATATGTGCTGATTCTTACGGATTTTTCAATGATGTTCTTTGTCTATGATTTCAACCTGATCATGCAAAGGGCAGTGATCTCCCTTTTCTCTCCATATGTGGATTTTTCCACTTCCCTTCGTGTTACAGATTTCTGGTGTTCTTGACGCCTCATCTTAAGTGGAGGGGGTGTCTTCCCCGTATATTACTTTCCGCAGCTACACGGGGTGGCGTACACGTAGTTTTTAGTCATGTTCTCTTCTTTAGGGTGGGCCTTACTCAGGGGAGATATCTGCGAAGATTTGTTCAACTTTTGAATGTAGTCCTGATTTTATATGGACCCGAGATCCTTTGTATTTTCTCTGATAACCCCTTCACATAGAGCAGGCAGACTGTTTTCTGAGTGTTGTTGTCCTCCTCTTGTACCCGCCTATCCCAGTTTCCCAGGACTGGTTCGATGATAACAACAGTCGCATCCAGATTTTACTGGAGGAGAAACATCAACTCCACCGAGTACTGCTTAAGAAACCGTCCTCCACATCTAAGAAGGAAGACATCAGCGCAACCAGGAGAGTTGTTTGGTCTGAACTACGCCGCATACAATATAAGTGACTTAACGAGCGGGCCAATGTCAACTAGTCTTACGCAGAGAGGAAGGACATGGGGAACTTTTACAGCGCTCTCAAGACCGTCTGCTGTCCCACTTCGTCTGGGTCGCCGTACCTCCTCAGTGCAGATGGGAACACAATGATCTCTGACAAAGAAAAGTTACTTGAGCGCTGGTCCGAAAACATCAGCAGTGTACACAACCGACCATCAACCATCAATGAAGAAGCCATTGCAAGACTACCAAAGTACCAGTCGACAACACATTGGAGGTTCTACCAACTTGAAAAATTACCAAAGACAATAAGCGCTTCTCAAGCGGCAACGCACCTGGTGCCGACTCCATCCCGGTTGAGGTCTCTGTCTTTGGTTGCCAAAACTGGAGGAAATTGCACTGGCCTGTTCAGCTAGATGTGACTCAAGAAAAGCTACCGCAGTAACTTAAGGATTCTTCAAAGGGAACAAAAGCCTCATGTGACAACCAACATGGCATCTTGCTTTCCATCGCTGGGAATATTCTGGCCCGCGTTTTGCTCAATTGTCTCACAGAAGTACTCCAGCATGCTGGGATGGAGAGCATCCTGCTGCCATATCAGTTCCAGTGGGCTGGCCATGATTGCTCTATGGCGAGCTATCCACAGACAAACGCTCACACGGCAGACCAAAGATGTGTTATAAAAACACGCTGAAGGATTCTCCCAAATATTATGGCATTCACCATTCCACCTGGGAAGAGTCTGCTGGTGCTCCTTTGTAATGTCCGGAGTATCTGTTTTAGAAGAGAAAAGAATCAGGGAAAAAGAACAGAGATTCCAGAAAAGGAAAGATCCAAAGGGATCCGCCTCTCTGCCTGTTTCAACCCCCAGCATCCCATGTTAAAACTGTAACAGACATTCCAGGGCAAAGATCGGGCGCATTATTCATCTCCACGCAACCCCACCCGCACCCTTCAGTGATTCGAAGTCAATGTCACCTCTGCGCGCGGTGGGCGAACATAAATGAAGCTTTGGTCGGATAGGTGTAACGTAAGTCGTTTGGATAGGCATGTAGCAGTGTGACCAATGTACTTCTTTATGAGTTTGGTTTGATCAGACACAGTTTCTTAACTACAAAGAACTAATATTGTTTACGAGTTCAAATAATCGTAAACAATATTCGTTCTTCGTAATTATGACTTTGCAGGTGCGTTGTTATTTTTGAGGATAAGTTTAGCCGTTTTAATTTTTTTTGTAATAAATAATTTAATTTTTTTGGTTGGAGTACTGTATTATATTTCTAAGTGAAGATTTTCGTTCATAGTTGACGAGCAAAATCATAACAACAGACCTTCAAAATCAAAACAAGAAGGATTGCTGCCTAAATACACAATATGCATATATATGTGTGTCTGTGTGAGTTTCTGCGTGTCGAGGATTGTGCAAAAACATTTTTGAACCAAACGTGTATACGTGTCTAATAATATCGAGAGATTTATATACTCACAGACACAAACAAGTAGACAGCCTCACATACATGTACGTATGTATGTATGTATGCATGTATGTATGCATGTATGTTAACAGAATATATCACTAGACAGATATTTTACTTATGACGTCAGTTCAATTTCCTGTTTGTCTAGAACATCATAAACCTATGTTTACTTCAGGATATAGGTAAAAGTAACATACAATGATCAAAGAAATATTTTCAATACATTTCTTATATGTAAATATATTTAATAGTTTTGTAACACAGAATTTGTAAGTGGAGTTTCTTGCGATCTATATGGGACTTCCGCGTGCAGAAGCGTGTAAAGAATAAGCCAGTATTCAGTCAGGATTTTTTTTTGGTGTTGACGGTTTTAAGAGGTTGAAATTATGGAAAATAAAAAATAAAAAAATAATATTTCTTCATTGACAAAATCCCTGCAGTAGAATTATTATTATTTTTAATCAATTAACCAAGCGGCGTGTGGAGCTGCCTTTATCGTCAATATCTATTTGATAAACAAGAACAGAAAATAATTCTGAGCAAGACTATTACTCGAAAGTGAAATCAAAGGTCAGAAGATAGTCGATATCTCTAGATTGGTAGTAAATTACATTCATATATTATATATTCAAAGGACGAGTTTATATATCTAACTACCTACCTACATATTTTTTATCTATGTTCATATCTAACTACCTATCTATCGCAGCATATTCAGATCTATCTATCTATCTATCTATCTATCTATCTATCTATCTATCTATCTGTCTATCATAGTCTGTTCATATCTACCTATCTATCTGTCTATCTATTCACAACTCCCTCTCTCAACCTCTGTCACTCGGACACTTTTTATCTATCTATCTATCTATCTATCTATCTATCTATCTATCTATCTATCTATCTATCATAGTCTGTTCATATCTATCTATCTGTCATCTATTCACAACTCCCCTCTCATCTGTCATAGTCTTTTTATCTATCTATCTATATCTATCTATCTATCTATCTATCTATCTATCAATCTATCATAGTCTGTTCAATCTACCTATCTATCTGTCTATCTATTCACAACTCCCTCTCTCAATCTCTCTATCACTTTCTCTATCTATCTATCTGTATTTCTTTTTTCTTTCTTTCTGCGTGTCTTTTTTCTATCTCTATGTAAGTATGTATGTATGCATGTATATATATATATATATATATATATATATATATATATATATATATATATATATATATATATGTTTTCTTATCGCTCTCTGAGCGTCAGTATATTCCTATCTATCTATCTATCTATCTATCTATCTATCTATCTATCTATCTATCTATCTAAGTTTCTTTCTTTATTGATTTCTTTCATTTTAGAATTGTGTACTGAGAAGCTTTCGGTCCAATCCAATTCTCAAGGTTAGTATGCTGATCCTTGATTATTTCCTTTATTGAAATACGTATTTGTGAGAAGTTGTACGGCCTGGGAACCTTTAATCAGTCACTCACTCACACATACACAAACACATACACACACGCTCTCTCTTCTCTCTCTCTCTCTCTCTCTCTCTCTCTCTCTCACACACACACACACACACACACAATTTTTTTTTCCTCTCTTGATCATTAATGTTTATCAACAGATATTAAGAATCCGGAAATGTTTCGCGCATGCGCCATACAATTTATCAACCTTTCAGTAAGCAGTAAACACGATTAAAAATTCTTTATTCGTTTTTTTGTTTTTGTTTTTTTTTATCATTTCCCACTGTGGGTTCCTTCAAAGTCATTTACTGTCTGAATGTATTTGTTGGAGAAAAAAAAAAAAAAGAAAAGAAAAAAGATCAGTGTAAATTGATGCACACACACACATGCGCATTATGAATTTCGATCAATGCAGCAAACGTTACGCAGAATCTTCACTAAATTTCTGAAAGAATTCATACAATCAAACCTAGGATCGTTCTTTTGCAAGAGAGAACACAATTAGCAAAAATAAGAGAAATATTTTATATCCGAATATTAATGTGTGGAATAACCCTAGACTCACATATATTCTGACGTAAAACAACTGTTAATGCTCAAATGATTCAAACGAAATACTTAATTTAGCGGAATATTGAGATATACATTAGATGTCTGAGATCCATTTTGATAGAGAATCCTAACATATGTAGCAATATCATGTTCTTCAAGTGGAGACTTCATTTAAACGAATAGTGAATTCGATATATGCATACTTTATCTACCAAAGACCGTGAATTAGTTGCATTTATCCACACAAAAATTAAACACCGTTCAGAAGACCAATACAGTTAGAAATTAATTCATCCTAAACTACTTTTCTTCAATGACGTACTGATGAAAAAAAAACGAAGTTTATTATTTGTTTCTTGCAATAATTCATTTAGAATTGAGTCTTCCCTCATCTTAGTTTTCCTATGAAAAAAAAAGGAATAGCATCTTTCTTTGGGTGACGTCATTAGAATTCACTTTAATACAATAGTTGGATGACTTCAGATTTAATTCCGTTACTGATATCATATTCTTGGGATGTCCATGAGAAATCAGTGATTATTTTTAAAAAAATCTCTCAATTGAGCATTTCGGCCAATCGAAAAGTTAATGGATGTTTATAAGAATTTTTTTTTCTTTTAAATTTATTTATCACCTCTTTTAATCATCACAATCATCATCACCATAATCGTCATCTTCATCATCATCATCGACATTATCATCATCATAATAATAATCCGTACCATAGCCAGGTTGAACCGTATGACCGTTGCCAACATCCACTATATGTCTTGGCTACGTGGCAAAATCAGGGTCTCTGTGAATATAATTCTATTCCACTCAGTAACTTACCATGAAACCCTATTCCTTCTGTTTCCTTCTTTTCTCTTGTCTAAGATGGTATCAAGTTAGCAATGGAAAGATTTTTGCTTGTTCTGACTTGGTGATACCATTTCCACTTCATCTTCATGACTGTAGTTAAAAGATCTTGTTTCTTGTCTAATGGTGTGTCGTACTGGGTCTTTTATGATGCGGTCTGTATAGGAGATGAATAACCTTGTTATGTAAGATCAAATCAGCAAGGCTTTCATTCATCGTTCTAGTTTAGCTGTTAAAACTGAAAAAAAAAATCTTGTAGGGAGTTAACACTTTATTAGCGGATATATGAACACAACAAATTGACATCGATTATGACTTCTGAAATCTGACTTTGATTTTTCTTTTGGTAACTTTTCTTGTTAAAGTTACATGAAATAAAATGAAAACAAAATAATTTCTTGAATAAATTTAATACTTATTGATTCCGACATGATTAATAGCATTTCCACTCTAAACATTTCCTTCGTGTTCTCCAAAGAAGTAGATTACAAATGAAAAAGAAATGGGAAGATTCCATGAAAAATCATTTTCATTATAAGAAACAAAACATATAAGCTGATGAGTTTTCATCTAGCCTTTGGCTTAATTAAGGTTCAAGTATTTTTGCAAAACTCATAAAAATGATTTCGTATAAGTTTATTCTAATTAAGCTTACCGGAAAATATTAAATATTTATAATATTAACGTTTGTATTTTTCTCATCTATCTATCTATCTATCTATCTATCTATCTATCTATCTATCTATCTATCTATCCCACTTTGTTCATATCTATCTATCTATCTATCTATCTATCTATCTATCTATCTATCTATCTATCTGATTGCCACATCTTATCCAGATAAGTGCAACCACTTGAAATGGCGTCAGTTTCGTTTTGACGTACATGGCCCCTAAGGTAACTCTTTTGACAAGTATTCCATTTCATAAATATCAAGCATATATATTATATAACCTCTGTTTTCCTTATTGAATTTGCATGACCTACTACATGCCTGTGTATTACCATCTACCTGCAGAGTCCAAATGATGATCTGAAAACTTTTTTTTCTAAACCAAACTGATATTGCCGGTAGAAGTTTGGGGCAGGGTGGTTTAATTGGATTGTTTCTGCCTGTTACGATGACCTTTCACATGATTTACATAACATGCCCTCGACAACAGCATGCACTCATTCACACAGTATTTCTAAGACTCTATACAAGTTGGTAACTCAGAATGAGTGCGTCTTCGAGGATCACACATCATCTGAGCATGCCTGAGACCTTTAGGCTCAAAGGCGTTGTACCCAGTCTTTGATTTAAAGTTGGTTCTCTCCTATTCTGCACATCTATTCCAACATGTATATCTTCTTTAAATCATTAGAAGGTTTGTCTTTATTAAGATAAATTCCTGCTGATGCTGTCAAACATCACGAAAAATTGAATTTCGTATTTGTGCGCATTCTCGATCAATGGAAGCTTATAATTAGTCGACCATTGCCGTTTGTGTTGGGTAAATATTTATCTTTGAAGGATACACATAAAAATATATAGTGGCTTAAGGTTTGGAGAACGTAACGCTATTCTGGGTCCAATCAAATTGTTTGGTAAATATCTCATCAAGGTAGTCGCTTACATAATGATGGTAGTGAAGGGTCTCTTCTTGCTGAACATAAATTCTTGTCTTCAAGGTCCTCTTGAATGCGTCCCCTGGCTGATTATCGCAGCAAATTAAATTAAACTGGACCGGTCACAGTGCCTTCAAAAAAAGATATGGTCCAAATAAACCTTGCCATGAACTATCATTCTTAGTAAATTAACATATTCTCGAGAATATAAATACTCAGGGCCACAGGAGATGCAATCGTCGCGCTTAAATACCTGTAACCTGTAACGGCATTCACCCGAGGTGGGTTGAGCCGGCTCCAATATTGGAGTTTCATAGGAATTTGGAATTCACAAGCGGTCCCCAAACCGCATGTATAGCACATGAGATTTGATTATAGTGGTGAAGGTTTCGTGCAGGATCATACACACTTTTTGATGGGCCGATTACAGAGACCTGGTGCACTACGTGCCACAAGGTCCCCAAACGACCCTCCGCAGGTTTTGAATTCAGAGTTTTCCTTCTCATAGACCAGTTGACACCAAAGGTTATAGAACCCAGTCTGTCCTGCTATTTACCCATAGCTGGAGGGAGAATAAGATAATTCGCTCACAGGAGGCACGGTGGAGTAATGAATAGCGGCTTGGATTGAGGAATCGGAGAACAGAGTTCGAATTCCACTCGAATCCATTACATTCACATACGTGCTAATACCCTTGGCGCTTAAATGCGGTATTTAATATAAATATAACCTCATTGCTACAAATAATCATTTGAGTGTGCGTATTTTCAAAGCATCTGTCCAAGAAACAGTTTCTACGGTCCGGATCATATTCATTAAAAACTTACACTATTCTTGAACTGTAACTTTTCCAATGACAGCGCTTTAAAATGCGATGGGCCCTTAATTTTGCAAATCTTATCTCACGAGTTATTTTGCCGCAGAGATTTTCTAGGGATGCTGGGGGTCAATTTCTAATAACTTTTCTTTCTCTGTGTCACTCTTCAATGATACATTTCTCCTAGAATTTATCTTTTGGACATTCTGAACTGTTCGAGTTGATTCAAACTTAATTTTTAATTAGAGTTTTTTTCAAAATCACGTAGCCGGGTCTCTTTGAAACATTCTTCAGAATGATCTTTGTACTTCAACTGCATTTTCAAACATTCCGTAACGCTTTAGGATAAAATTCTTTCTTCAAAATTTATCCTCGCTGCCATCATTATTTGTAACGGGTTACACTTGAAAATAAATAACAATGAAGTGAACAGTTGATAAAGTTTGTATATATTTTGGTGACACTGTCTTTATCCAGACCAGACGTAGAAAATAGAGATCGGGACTGGATGCACATCATTCAGTGGTTTCAGAATCGAAACATGATATCCCATCTACCGGGCTAAGGTAAAAGGGTAAAGCCTACACGGGAATGGACGTTAAAACAACTTGGAACTTCGCCAAAACTTCTATAACCAATTTCCTACTAATAGTTTAAATCCTAACTCCGACTTAAAACTATGACATCGCGTAAGCGGAGATTACCACGTGACCGGTACCATCAATAGTATAGTACGTAGTAAGGTAACTACTTACAAAGGGAAGAGAAAAAATGATATACAAAAAACTGATATTATGAGAAAGTCATTTTAAATGGAGGAGGTCATCATGACTCTCTATGGGTTTTTTTCTTTACCATTTGGGGGCTGCCATTACTTTTTGTTATTACAACTATAATTGGTGGAAGAGTAATTAGATGCTTGAATTTCCTACAGCCATCTGTGCGAGAGGAAAATACAAGGACTGTACTTGAACTCGTTAATTCGATTTTACTATTTCAATTAAACTGACTATATATATATATATATATATATTTGAAAAAGGTATTGAATTTATATTAAAAATGACAAATGAAAAGGATAAAACTGTAAAAACATTAAAAACATCAAATCCTAGGACGCCCTGTATTAATATTACTGTTACATATCATTCCTCTCTTAAATATATATAAATGAATATTACACAGCACAACGACGAAAGACATTATGGATAGACGAGGTAATCAGGTTGTTCTGAGTGCGCCATAGATTTCTGTGTTCACTAGATTTTTATGTGTAACTGTCCTGTCTGTCGTTTACCGTATTGTACCGTTTACTTCACTATTAGTCACTTAATACACCATAAGATTTGAGGTGGGCTTTGAGTACAGAGAAAACCTTGGCAATCCGATTGGGCCTGCTTCTATACTTGGCTAGGATTTCATGTCACTTTCCTTTGACAGGTCGTCTCAGAAAAAGCTACACACACAAACACACAAACACACACATATATATATATATACATATCTATCTATCTATCTATCTATCTATCTATCTATATATATATATATATATATATATATATATATATATATATAAAAGAGGCAGAATGGCATGGAGAATGAGAGCAAAAATATTGAGTGCAAAGCGCGCACCCCATATATATATATATATATATATATATATATATATATATATATATATATATATATATATATATATATATATGATTTTCCATAAAACTATTCCTGATATATAAATATAAATATTTATATGCCGTTTTCCTCTCTGCTCTCTCTCACACACACTCTCTCTCTCTCTCTCTATCTATATATATATATATATATATATATATATATATATATATATATATATATGTGTGTGTGTGTATTCTGTTTATACGTTATTTTTATAGATACAGATATTTTAAGCAAATGAATGTCCAAGAAATATCGTAGAAAATATGTGTCTTCAGGGAGGAATCTAACGTGTAACCTACACAGAACCGACGTGATATACCATTTAGCTACAGAGAAAGTGTCTTGTTATCAAAGTTCAATTACTGTTTTTTAACAACAAATTTGCCATCATTTTTCTCGAAAGATTTCTGGGACATTCGGGCCGGTAAATGGTCTTAATACTGTTTACTATAAACAGAATATTTAATTAGAATATTTTTATCTATAAAAATAATTATAAAGTTAAAAATATTAAAATAATTGTCGTACTTAGTCTATTTCATTATATATATATATATATATATATATATATATATATATATATATATATATAGATAGATAGATAGATATATACACACGTTGCATTGCCAAAAAATACTTCAAAATGAGATATTTTTGTGTTTTTTAAAGTAGAAGATACAAATCCAATAACTAATGCGTATTTGATTTTCTTTTTCAGACAAAGTTGAGGCTCTTCTTTCTTCCAAAATGTTTAAATTACATTCGTCTTTCTACAATACATTTTGCTAAATTATTAATATTTTCTATCAAAAACATTATATTTTGTTTTCACTATTTAACACTCAGTAGATTTTTGAGATTAACAAAATCTTCAGCGAAGTTAAATGTTAATACTAATTATATATTTTACCTAAGCACTGACTAATGTAGAAAATGAAATATGTGTAACTGTCACTGTTTAAAGTTGTACTCTCACAACACCATTTTCATAGTTTTCTTTATTTTATCAATTTTAGTGTAATTTGCACAAAATACCAAAATGAAAGCAGCTAAGCATTGATCTGAGACAATATATTATTTGCTTTTTATTGATAAAAAGGCTCAAAAAATATATACATGTTTTAAATTTTTAATTGTACGATTTCAGTTCAATCACACAAAACATTTGTGATCCAAACTAAAGGAGGACTATTCTTTTGTCCCAGATCCGGATATGGGGCATTTCGGATATAAGGGATTCCGGATATGAGGGATTTCGTATATGAGGTATTCTACTGTATATTAATCCTGAGTTCACTCCTTAAACAGGTATAATAGCGTAGAAATAAAAACGTGAACCAAGAGACGTATCCTTAAACGTGGGCAGCAGGATGTGAACAATTTTACCTCGTAGATTAAATAAGGGGTTCCTATAAATTTCGCTGGAAAATGCATATTATGATATTAATAGGATATTACTTATTAATTCGATTGTAAATGAAAAAAACAAACGAAGTTATTATTGCTTTATCATAAGAGTCATACACAGCGTAGTGGTTAGTCGTAAACGTTTTGTTTCTTTTTGGAGTAAATATTGTTAACCCTGGATATCCCCAATGTAGGATAAGGCTTTCCATGCTAGGAAATGCCTTCCATACTAGACTTCTCAGTGATAGGCACGTCGTGTGCATGATAAATATGTCTTGGTATTATGACTGGGGATATTCAAATATAATATTTTATGATATTCTAAAACTTTAAAA